CAGAGCCGGGGACCCTGAGACTCCAGAGCCGGGGACGCTGAGACTCCAGAGCCGGGGACGCTGAGACTTCATTGTGGGCAGGTTAGCAGAGAGGACCGGTCCCTGGAGAAGGACAGCACACTCACAAAAGGGAAGGGTTGATGATGGAAAGGAGGACACTGAACGGGATGGACTGAGACCATTACTGCAACAATGGAGCAGAGAGGAGACGGGATTGTGAGGATGGCACAGGTGCTGGCGGAGGGCTTTCATCTGTTGGACCTAAGATGCTATTAGTCCGAATCAACGTGATGGCACTCAACACCACAACATCTTTTTTATGGAAGTGGGTACATTATTATTAAACAATCCCCAGAAACGGGTTACATAAAATAATAAATAAACAAAACCCCCAATGACTTTGATTCATGATGACTCTCTTGGATCTCTGGGGCTGTAAATCTTTATTGGAGAAAATTGCCCATCTCCTGAGGAGTGACTAGTAGTTCTGCTGTAGGTCAAATAGACAAGAAAGCAGAATCCCAAGAATGTGAGTGATTTGCCTAGATCCACAGAGGCCCATGTCAGCAGAGCTGACATCTCACTCTGCATTTCCTTGTTGCAAACCTTACTCCCTTACTCCCTTCCCTTGCCCTGTAAGCTTTAGGGCCCGGATAAAGGGGGAAAGAAGGGAATTTATCTACTTAGGGGGTCAAAGTCAATATAGGAGCTTCCTTATTTAGGCCTCCAAGTGGTATGTTGTTATTATTGTTGTTGTGTGTCATCAAGTCAGAACGGAATGCTCCTCCAGTGGTTTTTCAGAGGCTGTAAATGGAATGAGAGGAGGTTGCCCATGTTTCTCCCCTGGGGCACCTGGTGGATTCAAACCACTGTCTTAGGTTTGGCTATACAACTCCTTGTCATTAGGCCACCAAGTGCTCCCTTTTCAAGTGGTATATTGTTGTTTCTAGGTCCCATCAAGCCATAGTGAGCCTATGAACAACAGATCTGAATCCTGTCCTATCCTGAGCCATCCTTATCATCCCTGATCCATTTTAACCCATTGCAGGAGACCCTGAATCACTCCACCTCGTTGAAGGTCTCTCACTCCTTCGCTGACCCTCCACCTAGAGGATTAGAATCACAATGCTTTCCCAAAGAATCCCGTTATCCACCTGTGTTACTATCCCAAGTCCTGTAACTGTGGGTGGAATCATGTCTCCAAAGAAGACTTAAACACTGGTCAGAGGATACGTGTCCACTGGACACATAGTGGTGCTTGAAGATATTCTTGGGAGGACTAGCTCGCTCCAGCTGAGCTGTGGGGCTCTTCCAGGCTCCTCTGCCTACATTCTGATTTTCATCTATATTTCCTCCAGCCAGTCTAGATTATCGCTCTCCTGTACAGTCCAGATGCCACATCGCTAACCCAAGCTGACCTACTTGAAATTGGCATGTCTTGGCCCTTGAGCCTGGCATGAAGAATTTGCACACACTTGCGCACCTTGGTGTGGGGGGTAGCTGATGTGTGACTTGCACTGCGTGCTCCTTGTCACTTTGAGAATTTCTGAGTATCCACAGCTAGCCAGGAGGGACAGCATAAAAAACTTTGAGGTCATCTGGTTTGGACTCAATGTCATCCAACTCTGGTCTCAGCCTCTGGGTGCACCAGCCTTGATCATTTTCTTCACTAACAGTCTCCCATCTTGGTCTCTTCTCTCCCTTACATGTTCTCTAGCCTGTTCTGATGACATCATCCCTGGAGCTCTAGGCCCCCCCTGGCTACTCTGTCCTACCAGAACAACCTGCTTTTTGAGAGCGGATCTTATTCACTATCCAGGCCCTTCTTCTGCAAGGCATGCACATGAGAAAGCTTGTCTAACGTGTACCATTCTCTGTCTTTACTTAGCGATCTAGGGCAGATCTTCAAAGCTGCTTGGGAGCCAAACTGTTTGCTCCCTTGGAGCTTTAATGCAGTTACTGTGTGCCTTCACATTCGAACCGACTCATAGCTGATCCTCCAAAGGGTTTTAGAGGCAGTAAATCGCATGAGAAGAGACTGCCTAGCTTTCTCCCACAAAGCAGCAGGTGGATTTGAACCACATGCCTTTGGGAATGCAGTGGAGCTTCTTACCACTAGTTCACAAAAGCTATCTTGCTCAGTGGATCATAGTTCTCAGAGTTATCCATTCACTTGTCCTCATTTCCCTTCTGCTTTCCAAGCCCCTTCCTTTCTGGTTTTTGGTTTGCTTTACTTTCTCTCCCTGACCCCGCCCCTCAGTTGCAGGCCTTTCAGGGCCTTTCCTGGCATTGATTTGGCCAACAACAATGTTCAGGCGTGGACAAAAGCCTGGTCCCTCTGTGCTGACTGAGGGCATCTTTGTTTAGGTGCAGATTTGATCTGGAGGCAGGTGTGATGTCTGTCTCATCCCAGACAGCCTGGACAGCAGGACCTGTCCCTGTAGAGCTTACTGGAAGCCCAAGAAAGAAGGTCAACTGTTGTTTCTCCAACAATCATCTCAAATCCCTTGAGTGAGAGCAGCCTGGACATCTGGTCTTTAAGACGGAAACCACTCAAGTTGCCTGACAGACAAACTGACAGGTCCTGGACTTAGTGGGCCGGAGGTGAGGATGAGCACAGAGCCCTCGGTTTGGGGAGGGTGTCCAGACAGCGTGTGGGACCCCTGACATGCGGAGACAGGACGCACATATGCGTACCTAGTAAACTAGTAAGCTGTAAGCTTTTTTGTGGATTCTTTCTCTTGTGAAGGAGACACAGAGAATCCCTTGTTGGGGATTAATCACTCCGTCTGTGTCCATGACTGAGAGTGTTTCTCACGTCCTGCCTCTGGTTTCGCTTGTATCCAGGAGTTCATTCCAAGGGCGGGACACCCCCTTCCCTCCCTCCCTCCCTGTGGAGGCTGCACTGGGGACCAATGAAAACACAGGGCCTCCTGCTGCCAGTGACTAAGAACTCAGAGTATTTAAGAAGTCACAGGGATCGTCTGGGAATCGTTTGTGCTTTCTCCTCCCCGCACAGGCACCTCTCACTCACCTGGCCTGGGCCTTTGCTTGAGCTCCTTCCTGCCATCACCATGTGCTACGGGAAATGCGCGCGCTGCATCGGACTTTCTCTGTGGGGGCTCGCACCCCTCTGCATTATAGCCAATATCCTGCTTTACTTTCCCAATGCGGAGACAAAATTTGCTGCTGAGAACCACCTCAGCCGCTTTGTGTGGTTCTCCTCCGGGATCGCAGGAGGGGGGATTCTGGTAAGTCAGGAAGATCACTGCAAACTAACACGTTCTCTCTTGCTAACTCTGTACTTCTGAGTTTCAAATCTAGTGGGGGATTGTTATGGGGGGGAATTCTTTCTTCTTTTGAAAGCAGATTAAAAGTGGAGACAGCCTTTATTAATTGTACTAACTGTGGTTTTACAAAAGCCTCTTTCCACTGAAAGGGAATCACTTTTTTGGCAAACTGTCTTACTTTACAGTTACAGAATAGACATTATCTTTTCAATTAGATTTGAAAGAATTTCTAGTTCTAAACTGGATTGGTTGTTTGCTTTTTTGTTTTGATCTAGAGAGGAGGTAGAAGTGAGCTGATTCTCTGTCTAAATCAACAAAGTTTTCAGTCCAAATTCCCTTCTGTTCATTACCATGGGGAAAAATGTTTAAACTCTGAATGTATCGCTGTTTAGAAAGAGCTATTATTCCCTGCCCCTTTTCATTTAATCTGGGAAAGTGGCATCTAGGAAAAATCCTACAGTTAGCAGCGGACCAGGGTCTGAAGCTAATGGTGGAATGTGTTGTATTTTCCAAGGTTATTTGGTTTTGTTTGTATTTTTAGCTGAATTGGGAGGGATTGTGTCTGCCAATCTTTGGACTGAAAGTATTAGCTTCCACCACAGCATGGAAAGAATGTAGACAGACTTGAGTTTGTTTTTTTATAATGCCTGGATTGAGACATTTAAACAGATTTCTGGAAATGGAGTCGTTAATACTGTACTAGATTTTTCTCCCACTTTGGTAAAGAATATTAAAACATTTAAACCTAATACAGAAATTATAATATGGAAATACTGCTTTGAATTTAAGTGTTATAATCACATTAAGATAATCTGTTCTGATCATAGCATTATACTTGCGATGGGGCCTTTGATCTTGCACTCAAATATTTCATACGTGAAAAGAACTGTATTTTGGAGCTAAAATCGTGTAGTTGTGTTTTACAAGAGGACTTTCACACTTACTGTAGAGCGTTTTCTTTTCTCAGCTATTTAGGAAAAAAATAATTATTGTCGTAGGAGTTTGTTGTTATCTTCTCTATTTAAAAAAAAAATCTGTCTTAAAGAGGCAGAGTTTAGCATTTCTGTGACAGTTTACATTTGGGGCTATGTCATGGACTCTCACTGCATAAACCAATGGAGGTTATTCTGGTTATTCTTTCTCACATTTCATTTTCCACCTTCATCCTAAAGAATGCTTTGAAAACAAGCAGATACTACAGTTAGAGTTTCCCCCCACCTCGAAATTTTCCATTCTTCGAGGTGAAAAGCATTCCCTGAAAGCAAATCATTTTACCTCTTACTCAGTGCTAATCTACTCTGTCTAAAGGATACATCTATCTCTGTAAGATGTTTAACTGTCCTGGATGAACTTGGGGATTGAAAAATAACTGTAGTTTGCTTGTCTCCCGGCCAGATCCTCCTGGCGGCATCTGTCTTCACTGGACTAGAACACGAAGACTGCTCTGGATGTTGCGGCTACCGCAGCTGTGGCAAGAGATGTGCGGTAAGGCCCTCTCCCTCCCTCTGCACAGAGGTGGCTCACACGGTGCAGTCATGACCTCTGTGGCTCACTGTCTATGCTTCTCCTTTTCCTAGATGCTCTCCTCTGTACTGGCCGCTCTCATCGGAATTGCAGGGTCCAGCTACTGCATCATTGTGGCAGCCGTGGCGTTAACAGAAGGACCAATGTGTCTTAATAACAATGGCCAGTGGAACTACACTTTTTCCAACACGGAGGGACAGTAAGTAATTACTCCTTACAAGGCCATGCATTTCTGTCTCCTGAACGCATACAGTAGCAAATACCCAGATCAAATAAGCACCTAATAATCTATTCAGTGATTCACTCAACCAGTGGAATACTAGCACAGATTCATGTCAAGCATGGCTTAGGCAATGGGTGCACGTACATGGATATAAACTCTGACAAACTCCAACTCATCGTTGTTAAGTCATAACCAACTCATAGCTGATCCTTCAATGGGTTTCAGAAGCTATAAATCACATCAGAGTAGACTGTCCATCTTTTTCCTTTGTTGTTGCTGAAGGATTCAAACCACGAGAGGAGTAAGTGACTGTGTTTACTCTCTGTAGGAGAGCAGGAAAGAGGGAGCTGACCACTCTATGTCTTCGTTACTTCACCTGTCAGATAAGACTAATAGTTGTCATGAGGGTCAAAGAGGAACTTTCTGTAAAATGCTCGCTACAGAGGCTAGTGCATAATATTCTAGCTATTGATATTGTCCACCCACAACAAATACAAGCCAATGGCAGTTTGTGAAGGAACAACAGATTCTTGAAGAAGTCTCAATTTTTTGTGTTCCAAATTATTATTTAATCCTGATTCATAATTATTGAGAATGTACTAACTGTACTTAGTAAAAAATATTTATCTACATACATGTGCACAAGTGTATAAATTACTATGCAAACCCAATTCCAAATAAAAAGTCATATGAATCCATCTGGAATTCAGGTAAAGGTTTCTCTTATACTTGTTTGTTTGTACCACCCTTCCATAACCCATTATAGCAAGAAAACATCTTTCTATGTCATTTTTGTCCAGGGATTGCCTCATAAGCAATGCCTAAATAGTCATAAGCCATTGATTATCCAATAACCAAATGCAATAAAAAACAATTTTTAAAAAATTGATGCCTAAAACCAAATTTTATCCCATTGATATGCAGAAGAGAGAAAATTGAATTTCTTGTTGGCTCAATGAGCCATTCCGGAGTCAGATCTCAAATTGCAAACCCCTTTTGTCCTGTGGTGGTGTGAAGAAGTGATAAGAAGAATGTTAGTGCTCTGTGAGTTTAAAGCAATGCTTTCTCTCCCTACATGACTGACTCTCATTTCATTAAGAATTCAAACACTCCATAATGTAGCAAAGCCTAACATTCCAAGACAACAATCAGAGATAGAATTTTTAGACTTTTCAGAATAGTATCTCGCTAGCCAAGCAATCTTCTACATGACACATGTGTGTATCTTAGCCACGTAGAGGGGTTCTGATGGGGTAGTCAGCAGTTGTGTGATGTTGGGAGTCAAAAGGCCGCACATCCCTAACAGTTGGAACCCACCAGCAGCTCCTCGCCACCGTGAACAGTCACCACACTAAGATTACAGCCTCAGAATCCTGATGGAGGGTGGTTCTCAGTCAGGAAGACAATGAGTGTTCCGAGCTTATTAAAAGCCCTTGTGGTGCAGTGGTTAAGCATTTGTGAGTTGAAAAGTTGACAGTTCAAATCCACATGCCACCCCGCTGAAGAAAAAACGAAGCTGTCTGCTTCCTTAAAGACTTACAGCCTCGGAAATGCTATCAGACAGTTCTCTGTGCCCTGTCTGGGGAGCTGTGATGGCCCAGGGTTGTGCTGTCCACTCTTCAACGGCTCACACTTCAAATCCATTAGCTGCTCTGCAGGAGGAAAGTGGACAGTGTCCTCCCATGGATATCCAACCTCTGAAAACACAATGGAGGGCCAGCTATGAGTCGGTTCTATCTTGGGAGTCCAAAACTTCCACTCTCTGGGTGCCGTAGGCTCGCTATAGATTGGAACCAATTTAATGACAGAGTATTATGTACAGTCAGAGATGGCCTCAGCCAGCTTTCCTAAGATTTAGCAAAGTGACCTCAGATGGCCGTTTGGCATTTAAATTTTGAGTCCCTACCATGAGTCAAAAGGTAGCTTAGGAGACATCCCACTGACTGCAGTCACATGTCGTACATTCTCCTCTGATTCACAGGTACCTTCTGGATCATGCCAAATGGTCCGAGTGTGTTGAACCCGAGCACGCTGTGGAATGGCACGTGACTCTGTTTTCTATCCTCTTGGTTCTTGGGGGCATTGAGTTCATCTTGTGTCTCGTTCAAGCGATCAACGGGATGTTTGGGGGCATATGTGGCTATTGCTGCTCTCGTCAACAGGTAAGATTTTGGGTGCACCTGCTTACCTTAAAGTAGCATTATTTTCAACATGGAGAGAAAAAAGAAAAAGGCAGAACTAAACACTGTCTTAGCATGGCTATAACAGAAATATCGTAAATGTGTGGCTTCAACAAACAAATTTCTTTTTTCACAGTTTCAGATGTTACCAGTCTGAATACAGGGTGCTGATGCCAGGGGAAGCCCTTCTCTTTGTGCCAGATCTGGAGGAAGGGCCCTGTCTCTTTGAGCTTCTCCTCCTGGGTTATCTTCATTTGACGGGCTCTTTACATTTGCTCACCTGGGCTTTACTCACAAAAAAACCAACCAACCAAACAAACAAACAAAAAAAAATTTTTTTATCACAATAGAGATTTACTCAAAGTGTATCCTACACTAATCTTAACGAATGAATGTAACAAAGACAAACCCATTACCAAATGGGATTGTAACCCCAAGAATAGACTTTGTAAGAATTGTAATCACACACTTACTGTGGGGAGACACATTTCAATCCATAATGTGCCATCTTTTGTCCCAGCTTGCCATATGTAAAACACCGTCAGTCTAACACTTCATCTCAAATCCACAATTTCATCTTCTGAATCATCATAATCTAATCTGGATGAAAGGTGAGGTGTATTCCACCCAGGAGCAAAATTCTTGTTCATTTGTAAATCTATGAAATACAGACTGTAAGTTACGTGTTTCAAAGTACAATGATGGGGAAATTCCAGCAGGTAGACCACATTCTTTCTTTCCAATCTTTCTCTGTTCCCTTCAATCTAAACTGGTGGCTTTTCTGCTATGATAGTTGGCAACCCAGCAAGCATAGGCTTAATGTCTAACAAAAGATGGTGGAGCCACTTTTTTGGTGAAAATCTAGAACATATCTACAGTTTGTATACATCATTTTCCAACTGTTTGTTTTCATTTTGTACAATTCCTTTTTAAGTCTGTTTTGTTCCTCTTGCATTTCCCTGTAACTGGCAAAAGGAAACTACACGGACCTTTTAAGATCTTGTTTAGAAATTTCCTCAATTAAATATTCAAGTTCATCCGTATCCATTCGACTTTCCATATTTAAGCATAATTCACACAAATTCTTTGCCACAGCATTAAAAGCATTATCTGTTCTTCATTGTCCAATCACACTTTTAGCATTTTCTCTTAAAGCCTTGTCAGAAGCACCTTTAATGACTACCTTTAATTAACATTCTATTGCTGATACCCTAAGTGTTCTCCAAGACAGTAGATACTTTGTCTGTTCCCTCTCTGCTGAGCTCTCACCACAACTTCCTTTGATGTCCATAATTCCGCTTACAGCCTCTTCTCTCCCAGGAAATCTAAACTCCTAATATTAGGTACTGTGAAATTCTTCCACCTGATACCCAATTCCAGAACTACTTCCATATTTCATTGGTCTCCCAGCAGACCATCCCACTGTCATAATTAAATCCTGCCTTAGTTTTAGAATGCTGCTTTGATAGCTCTGTAGGAAGCTCAGGTAGTGTCATCCTTATGGAGCTGAGCTGCTAACCCACAGGTGGTTTGGACCCACCAGGTGTTCCAAGGAGGACGACACGTAACATCTTTGTGTGATTTACAGCCTCTCAAAAATCTGCTGAAGGTCAGCTTTGGGTTGGTTCTAACTCAATGGCAAGAGTTTGGGCTTTTGGTTTTTTCATAACGTAAATACCATAAAAAAGAAAGGGAGCTCTGGTGACCTAGTGACAAGAAACTGCACTGCAATCCCAGAGATATGCGGTTTGAATTCACCAGATGCTCTGCTGGAGAAGGAGAGACAGTCTCCTCCTGTACCAGTCAGATCTGATTTGATGGTACACACACACACACACACACACACACACACACACCATAAAAGAGGGTAGTTAGCAAACAGAAAGTTATTTTTTTCAGTTTAGGAGACTGTTGTTGTTGATTGCCTTCAAGTCGAGCATGACTCTTAGCAACCCAATGAACAAAAGAACTGAAGCCCCTCTGCAACTATCAACATTTATGAAAGGTCATAGAATTTCCAGAGGCATGTTGTTTAAGAAGTGGATGCCACTCCTGCTTCCAAACCTCTCATAGAATGTTATTGGTTGAGTCGCCTGTGATGTAAAGAGACCCTACGTGCAGCAGCTCTGAACCTTTTTCTGTCCTGAGACAGTCTCACTAATTCTGACATACCAATCCCCATTATTCCAGTCATCACTGTATCAATCTGTCTCATCTGGGGTCTTCCTAGAAGTTCAAATTCAAGGTACCAGTCTAGGGGAAGTCTTTCTTGGTCTGCTATGGAGGAAGATCCACGACTCTGAACTTCTCCTGAGTACTCCTCATGTGACGTGACATCTCTTTCCCTCTCTCTGCGCTTTGCTCTCTTGTTCAATTAATTTGCATTTTTAAAAGAGATTGATTTACGATGCTCCCTACACTAATCTCATCTCACTGACATAACAAAGATAATTCCGTTCCAAATGGGATTCTATCCATAGACATGTGGTGGTGGTGGTGGTGGTGTGCCATCGAATTAGAAATGATTCATAGTTGTTGACCCTCCAGCAGATTTTCAGAAGCAATAAGTCTCACAGGGAGAGATTGTCCCTTCTCCTCCCTTGGAACAGCTAGTGGATTCGAACTGCATGCCTTTGGGATTGAAGACAGCTTCTTACCATTAGGCCATCAGAGCTGTTAATCATAAACATTGTTGCTTTTGTTGTTGTTGCTATGTGCAGTCGAGTCATCTGCAACTTATAGCGACCCTATGTACAACAGCCCTAAACCCTGCTCTATCCTGTGCCAATCGCACTGTCTCTGGCACACCTACCCCTTACCCCAGTCATTGAATTAATCCATCTCATCCAGGGTCTTCCTCTCCTGCTCTGTCTCTCCAATCTCCCAAGCATAATTTCCTCTCCAGGGATTGTTCCCTCCTTGCAATATGTCCAAAGTACGTCAGATGAAGCTTCAGAATCCTTGCCTCCAAGGAGCAGCCTGGTTTAACCCCCTCTAGGATGAACTTGTTTGTTTTCTTAGCAGTTCATGGTCTATTCAGTACTCTTCTCTAACACCACAGCTCAAAGGCATCGATTCTCCTTCTATCATCCCTAGTCATTGTCCAGCTCTCTGATGCATAGCAAGTGATTGCAAAGACCATGTCCTGTATCAGACGCACATTAGTCTCTAAGGTGACATCATTTCTCTTCAGTACTTTGGAGAGGTCCCTAACATCAGACTTTCCCATAACAGTATGTCTTTTAATTTCCTGGCTGTTGGTACCAAGAATAGAGGTTGAGATTTATAACACATACTTTGGGAGGCCACAGTTCAAGTCTTAATGTTGCTCATCGTATAATAAATTATGGTTACCATTGAGCTCTTTTTCCAGATGAGATTATGGCTTCCAAAGACATTAAATAATATGTCTAAAATCACCTAGTTGGGAAAGCTTTCCCCCTGTCCCGGACATTTTGTGCCAATCTTGCCCTTAAATTGTATTTGACACCCAGTTTCATTGGACTATATATAGTTCTTTCCTAATAAGGAGTCAGTCACAGAAATGCCTGAGCAGTTAAGCAGGAAGAGTAACTGGTAGTCGTTGAATAACAGCTCATGAAAAGCCTTTCACTGTGAAAGGAAACCAGGAAGCACTTGTTTCCTGGGGATATGAGTGAGGAGAGAAGTATGCATTTGTTAGTAACAAGGAACTCTTATTTCTATATTTTCAAAGATAGAATGTATTTCACTGAAGTAATGGAAGCCCAGATTAGGCCTAAATTATTCTTTTGCTACTTTATGTCTGAGTCTGTGAAATAACATTAGGTAAACAGAAACTTAATTTCATTTGCATTTTCTCAAACCATTTATTCCCTTGACTCTAGGTCTCTTGTCTTGATTTTCTCTTCAAATAAGGCAAAACTAAATGAAAACTAAATCCTTTTGCCACCCTGAAAAGCTTTAAATAAATGGAAACTTGATTTCTGAGTGTTAGGAAAAAAGAAAGTTTTTCTTGTCAAGCAAGTATAGCAAGGTTAATAATGTCTTCGGAGTCCTGCCAAATTTCCAGGAAAAGAACACAGTGGGAAACTCAATATGTAGTTTTTCCAAAGAGAGCTGGTCAGGGGAACCCTAGGTGGTGCATATGGTAAACTCATCCAGCTGGCCAAAAGGCTGGGGGGTGATCTACTTCCCAAAGCTTCGTAGCTGAAAAGCCAGGGGGCGAACGGCTCCAACTCTACTACTTAGAGTCTCCGTGAGGCCAAATCACCTCAGAGGCAACCTGGGAGGTTTTGTTTGTTGGTTTGGTGTTGGTGTGGAGCAGAGACGAGTTCTCTCAGAATTACTATAAAGCAACCTAGCCATCTCTGGTGGTCTAGTGCTAAGAAAGTGCACAGCAATCCCAAAGGTAAGATAGTTCAAATCCAACCCAGGAGAAGGATGGACAATCTCTCATGTGATTAACTACCTTCCAAAAACCAACCACTGGAGACTCACCTATGGGTTGGTTCCAACTTGTCAGTACACAATAACAACCTAAATTTCGTATTGAATTTCAGAGAAGGCAGAGATTTAGCTAGGTGGAGCTTCATTTGACTTTGATGCTAGAGCATTTTGGAGACAGGCAGAAAATGCTAACCATCAGAATTGCTAACGTGATTGGCAGGGAGTGATGTTCACCCTGGCCTTCTCCCCCTCACTGTGGGAGGGGTTTCTTCTCAGATGCTGCTGTGCAGATGTATTAACTCTGTAAGACAGAGGACACCTTCAAGGGACAGAGGTTTTACATTAGAAAAATTGGATCTCTAACTCAGTAGCCTTTCATTTGAAAGGTTCTCCACCTTGAGCCCACCACTGTACAAAATAGCATTATCTTTTAAATCCCTAGGATTACAAACTCTTTGTGAGAACTCTGCAGGGCCAGACCAGGCCAAGCACGTGTAGTTTTCACAGGCCCTTCGGCAGCTTTCACTCAGAAAGAACAACAGGTCTGGTTTGTTTAGGAAACACTTCGTCTACATTACCTGGGCCCCAAGAGTTGTTGACCAAAACTCTGAAGACATTGAGATCATTCTACTTTATATTTGCTTAAAACAGAGATTTAAAGGGCTGACATGTCACCTTCATGTATCCTAATGATAAATTAATAAGTGTTTCTTTGTCTTTCCACAGCAATACAACTGCTAAACGACCTGCCTCAAGACTGAACCACAAGCCTTCCTTTATTTCACTGTAATTTATATATTTTACTTGTAATTAATTTGTAAAACTTTGTATCAGTGTATCATACTCCACATAGTTTACTTTTATACATATGTATAAAGAGTGGCATCTTCACATTATAGAACTGTTGAAACTTAGCAAACAATTTTTTTTTTAAAAAGTGAAAAACTAACCATATTCAAAAAACATGAAGATAGTGAACTAATTCATAGCAGACTGAGTGAAGATCCTCAGCAATCTGAGAAATCTGAGCTCAGCCTGAAGTCAGGTTTCAAGAAACACTGCAAGGGTAAAAGCCAAATCCTGCTTACTAGTGTGTATCTGTGCATGTGTTCGGTTTCTTTAGATGAAACATTCTAGTTTCTATTGCTGGCTCTTCCACTGTTTATATGGTGTTTTCCACTTGCATGTCTGTGAGTCTGTGGAGACGAGGGCCTTTGGAACTACTGTGTGCCCTGAGACAACCCGTGTGCAATTTTTGCTCAGAGTCGGGGAGGGGTAATTGATAAAAGCTCTAAAACAACTAAAGAAATAAAATAAAAAAGAAAAAGGCAACGCTGCTAGTTGCTGAAAGTACCACCAGGTCTTACTCATTTCCTCCTAACCCTTGGGAAGGTTTTTATTCTTTTATCACAAAATTTTTAAAGAGAAAGGCCTAGAGAGCTGCCCATGAAAATAGATGATGGAAAACGGATTAAAGTAGTGGATCAGCAGCATGGAAAATATGGACAGGGAGAAGAAACAATCGCAGAGGAAAAGTCCATTGAAGAAACATCCAGAACACCTTGCTGGCTTAAAATAAAATGCAGTAGTAACCTTTTTGTTTGTTTTGTTTTATTGTTCTTAAAATTTCTCATCTTTCTAATTTATAATTAGGTGTTCTTCAGTTCGTCTTGCCCCTAAAAGTTTCCAGTCCCGCTTGCCCCATGTGTTCTGGTTCTCCATCCCATAACTTCGCCTCCCTCATTTTCCCCACTCTCTGTTCCCTGCCTCTGTCAGCCAGGAATTGCTGCAGTGCCAGCCAGGATAGTCATCACCTCATTTAAGCACCTTCCTTACCAGGCTCCTGGAAGGGTAACACACTTCCTTCTTGATGGTTTAGATCCAGTGTACAATTAGTCCCTTCCAAGTACTAGGAACCCCTAACCAAAAGAGACTTAACGACAAAATTTCTGCTTTTGGTGTTAATTGGTCTAGGCCATCCATGGACAATCAAGTGAACATTTTCAGTGCACCAAGAATTATTTCAAATCAAAGTCTGTTGATATACATCCATGAAATCACTCTTTGAAAACCCTGCGGAGCATAGTTTTACCCCAATACACACGGAGCTGCCACGAGTTGTAACTTCCACAGGCAGAGCAGATACTGTGTGGAAGCAAAGTGTTTCTGCTTCTTTTCCTCTCTGAAAAACCCTAATTGGTTTTGTGATGGTCCTATTGGACACTTTCTCAGTATTGTTTATAAATGCAAATAAAAGTTCATAGGATTAACCAATATATGGAAATATTTTACCCAAAATATTTTTTTTATTTCAATACCTATTGGAATCCACCAGCTGCTTCATGGGAGAAGGATGGGAGTTCTCCTCTTCTGTATTTACTCCCTTAGGAAACCTGTCAGAAGGTCAGCTACGGTTCACCCAACAATCACATGATAACTGTCAGCTCCATCACACCCATATGGTGTTGACAGGAAGACAGAGATCATGTGAAACCTAATATCCAGGCTAAGAACTGCTGAGCTTCTTAGGCACTTTGAAATTAAAATAGTTTTGGATACATGCAACATCTTTAATATTATAGGAAAACAGAGGTAGCCTTTAAAAAAATTCATGAGATTTGTACACCAATGTTCATAGCAGCATTATTCACCATCGCAAGAACAATGGAAACAGCCCAAAAGTCCAACAAAAAGAGAATGGATTGTGGATTCACATAATGGAATTCTATACAGCACACGGAAATTTTGTAAATTATTACCTAACTTGGGAGGGACGGGAGAGCATTATGCTGAGTGAAATTACTAAATCCCACAAGGATAAATATTATATAAAATAAAATCATTATTGCAGAATGAGTATAAAGATCCAAGAGGGGTGGGAGAGGTTGGAAGCAGAGGGATGAGGATGTGCAGGGGGAGGGGGGGATTAATCATGGGATTGTACGTTAGGGGGAGGTGAGGGAAATTGAAAGAATTTGTTCTTGAAAACAATGTAATAAATTTTGTAAATAAACTAGTAGAAAATTTAAAAAATAAAGGATTTGAACTTAAAAAAAAGACCACTGATGTTGTTGATGCCACTGTTGGGTTTGTGTGTAATATTATTTAAACAAAATATGTTGTTTTTGTTATGTGCTGTCGAGTCGTTTGCAACTCATAGCGACCCTATGTACAACAGCCCTAAACTCCACTCTGTCCTGTGCCAATCTCATTGCCACCGACACACCCATCCTGAGTACCCCAGTCACTGAATCAATCCACCTCATAGAGGGTCTTCCCCTCCTGCACTGTCCCTCTACTCTACCCAGCATGATGTCCTTCTCCAAAGACCTGTCTCTCCTTACAACATGTCCAAAGTATGTCAGAAGAAGCCCCAGAATCCTTGCCTCCAAGGAGCAGCCTGCT